CGCCACCTTCCCCATCGACCTGCAGTTCTTCTACGGCGACTCTATCCTCGTCTCCCCTGTCACCGCCGACGACTCCACCTCCGTCACCTTCTACCTCCCCCGCGACACCTTCTACGACTTCACCACCCTTGCGCCCGTCAAAGGCACCGGAGCCCCGGTCACCCTTAGCAACGTCTCCTTCACCCAGATCCCGCTCCACATCCGCGGCGGTGCTGTCCTGCCCCTCCGCGCACAGTCCGCGATGACGACCACCGAGCTCCGCACGCGCGACTTTGAATTCGTGGTCGCGCCGGGCGCAGACGGCACGGCAAGCGGCAACCTCTACATCGACGATGGCATTTCCATCAGCCCGGCAACATCGACGAGCTTGAAGATGTCATTCAAGAACGGACGGCTGAGCGTCCAGGGTGTGTTTGGCTTCAAATCTGACGTGAAGACTTCGCGGGTGCGGTTCCTAGGTGTCGGGAAGGCGCCGAAGACGGTCCAGGTTAACGGCAAGGCGGTGACGAAGACCGGGTTTGCTTACGATGCGACAAAACAGGTGTTGGATGTCACGGTTGGGCTTGCTCTCACCGGACCTTTCAACGTGCAGTACTCTTGATTATCATCATGTAAGCTCTTGAAAATGTACGCAACATGAATTACATCGTTATCTTTGCTCTCCATCGTATTGGCGCCGCCCAGCCCTGTACAATCCATGTGCGTGTATACAGTATTAGGTGTAGGGCAACTCAGCGTATGAACAAGGTCCTACTGTCCGCGTTCATGGCCTCTGCGATCGACGATCGTTTCTCCTTCATCCTAGCGTTTTGCTCGACTATCAACAAAGACGCTAGGATTTGGTCTCGGAAGGACTCCGTACCTGCCTCCATGACAAGGCAAGGTTTGGTTCCAGATATGGTCATGTATGCCAGGGGGGTGTGGACGTTATGTTCGCTGTATAGCTGAATGCAAAGCAGGTTAGTTAATGTAGAGTGGGGCTAATCCTGTGAGGGACGTACGGCGAGCCTATGAAGTTCGTGGGCTTTCCAGTGGTATCTCCCTACGCCGGTCTCGATGATCGCCATCTGGCTGTAACGGAGGTAGCAACGAGTAATTGAAAGGTGGTTTCAATTACTTGGGCGAAATTAACGCACCTTTCATCCACGGGCTCAGCGTCGGGCATCCACTCGTCCAGCTTCATGGGACTCCCTCCATGATGGTCGGCAAACGTGACGGTGTCGGGCAACAGCGATCGGCGTTTTATAGTAGCCAGAACACGCTGCGTATTCGCCTCTTGGATTGTAATGCGAGTGCCTGATCTGCCCGACGTGGATACGATGTATTCAGGTTGGCCTTTGGATGAAAGAACAGCATCCTTCATGCTGTTTGCGCTGAAATTCAGATGGATGGCGGATGGGTTTACCAGAGTAGCTGTAGAGTCCATGCTGAGGCGTCCGTAGTGGCGAACCTAGCTGTTGAGAGGTCGCATTTTATAGAATCCGGTCGAGGCCGCGCGGCTTTTACAGAATTAGTCAAGTACTGGTCGAAGGATGTTGCTCTGTAAGTGGAACTGATAGTCATGAGGCACCTGGCCAACGAGCGGTTCCGAAAGTTGGAATGCATTTGTCATTCTAAACCTCTGTTGACTCGAGACTCACGCGACACCCCGCACCGCGTCGATCGGATGAGCGTACCTTCGGATCGTAGAACAAAAGATTTTGCACGCCTTGCGGATTGAGGGTTGGAACCACTGGTGGAGCCTAAGTGCGAGGAAGATAACACGACAGAATGAGGCACACAATCCTCCTAGAATCATAACCGTCAAAACAATCAACCGAGGTCTATACAAGCGATTGATCGTCTTATCGTACCTCTCCCCCCCACGGATATCTTTCATGATGCGCCTATATTGACCTTTCCTCGCGTCTCGGTTCACCGTCCTGCTTGTTTTCCCATCACTCACGTAGGGCACCCAGCACATGACCTAACTTCTCATCGAGCTCCTCCCTGGCCAGCGCCTTCAAGAAATTTCGGTCAACGTTCGATCACTTCTATAACCCCATGGCAAGTCCAGAGTGCCCGGGATGGTGTATGAACGGTGGTTTGGATGTATCTGCTGGTATAAATCGGAGGAGCATAATTGTGTTTGGTGCATTCGTCGAGGGCTCGGTGATGCGCACAGCGCGCAGATGAAGCCGCTATCATTGACATTGAAAGTCTACGTTAACTCGGTGACGCAGGTTACCCTAACTTCGAGGGGTTGATAAGAGAATGCCAGTGCAAGATATGAAGAGGGAGAACGTACACCAGAAATCAGATAGGTATTTAATAGGACCTAACTACCCTGTGCAGCACGGCACGCAATGAGCATAAGCAGACCCGGCACGTCCCCGAAACATGGGTGGTTCAGGTTCAACAACTTCTGAAGCCGCTTTATCTCCACCGGCCCGGACGTAGATTCCTCGTTTAATGATTTGTCCTTTACGATACCATCGATACTCGAGGAAGCATATCCCGCCACGACAGCAGCAAAAGAGCTCGACCCAGAGAGCTACAGGGCGAACGGTGCGAGTCAGTAAACAAGCCCAACAATGATGTTAATGATCTGTGAGAGAGATCTGTCTATAGCTAGCTGTGTTTGAACTTGCGTTGATCAGCTTTTCTGTTATTCTTTTTTTAGTCATAACGCTCGATGCCGCCCCGGCCATACCGACTTTCCTGCAACAGGCCCACGTCGACCTGCGCCTTCGACGCAGCGACCCAGCATGACACCTGAGCCTGAGCCTCCTTCAGAAGCCACCCCCCTCCTCGCTTCTCCCGAGTCAGAGCAGAGCTTCAAACGGGAAGCGGTGTACGAGCGCTTCTCGCGGCGCAGGAAATGGGTCATCTTGGTGCTGGTGTCGTGGTGTGGGCTGATTCCCTGTGAGTGCCGCCGCCTTGGTGTCTTTTAGGCCCTCGTTCTGACAAGTGGATCGTGAAGTGTTCGTGTCGGGGACGTTCATCCCTTCCATACCGCAAATCGCAAAAGACCTTGATACCACAGGTCCTATCATCAGGTCCGCCTCCACATCTTTCGTTTTAAGAATTCCTCCCTAACTTTGAACGCAGCCTCGCTGTCAGTTTATCCATCTTCGGCGCCAGTCTCGGCGGCCTGTCCGGTGCAGCATATTCCACATTCTGTACGTCGTCCACCTCATCTTCATCATACCCCCCCGCCTAATCCACCTTCTCAGATGGCCGCCGCCCCGTATACCTCGTCGGCCTCCCCCTCCTCTTCATCGGATCCCTCGGAGTCGGACTCTCGCAGACCGTCACGGAACTCATGATATGGCGCTTCGTCCAAGCATTCGGTTCTGCGCCTGGCTTGTCAGTTGGAGCGGGTGCGATTGGGGATATCTACAGGCTGGAAGAAAGGGGGCAGGCCATGGGAGTATTCTTCGCCGTACGTCTGCCCTCCATATCCCTTCTTCCCCCCCCCCCCCTTCTGAACGCACCATAGGCATGCCTCGTCGGTCCCGCCCTCGCCCCTCCCATCGGAGGTACGTTCCTCTACTCCCCCCCTCCCCCCACCCCCGCCCCTCCCTAGCTCTCGCTGAAAATACCCTCATCCAGGACTGGCAGCTGAATACGCCTCCTGGCGCATCATGCAACTCGTAATGGGTGGCGTCGGCGGCGTTATGTTCATCTGCATGCTCCTCTTCTTCCCCGAGACGAGCCACCCCGGCACGCGCGGCATCGACAAGCTCCCCGCCGCCTCCCGGAAGTGGGTGTTCGTCAACCCATTGCGGCCCCTCGCGTTGTTGCGGAGTCCTAACCTCCTTGCTGTGGTAAGCGTGTACACCCCGTCGTGGATTGGAGGAGAATGTGCATTGACGCATATATGAAGTCGTTTGCGGGGTTCGCGGTGCTGTTGACGGATTATGGTACGTCGGACCCCGCGTTCTGCGTGCTCCATGGCTGAACGAGCCATGTGTACAGTCCTCCTGGTGCCCCTGGCGTACACCATCGTGAGTCAACCACACCACCCCATCCGTCTCGCCCTCCAATCCCATCTTTCCCCCAGGGCGTCCGATACAACATAACAAACCCCGCCCTAATCGGCGCCTGCTTCCTCCCCGCCGGCCTCGGCAACATGAGTGCGTCCCTCCCTCTCCCCTCCCCTCCTCCCCTGCCCACTCACCCACCCCTTGCACCCTTCGCACAGTCGGCGCCCCCCTCGCCGGCCGCCTCTCCGACAAACTCATCATCTCCTGGCGCGCCCGCCGTCTCGGGATCTGGTACCCCGAAGACCGCCTCCGCGCCACCCTCCCCTCCGCCCTCCTCCTCGTCCCCCTCTCCGTCCTCCTCTCCGGCGTCCTCACGACCTACGTCCCGGGTAAATGGGGGTTAATTGGGAATTTGGTGTGTCTGTGGGCGAATGGGGTGGGGGTGGATGTGGTGCTGAGCCCGAGTGCGGCGTATGCGGTGGATGTGATGAGGGAGAGGAGTGCGGAGGCGATGGCTGCTAATGTGTGCGTGCTTGTTACCCTTCTTCCTTCTTTCCCCCCCTGAATTCCTGACTGACTCCTGGCTCCCGATTAGGGCGTTCCGAGCGCTCTTCCTCTCCCTGTGCATATCGGGTATACTCCCACTCATAGACCTCATCGGCGTGGCGGGGACCAACGCCCTCTCAGCTTTGTTGGCGTGGATCGGGTGCTTCGTGCTGTGGTGCACGATCCGGTATGGGGCGCAGATGCGCGCGTGGGTGGATGTGGGGTATACGGCTGTGGAGGACAGCTAGGGAGGGGGGGTGGGGGAGTTGGGTCAAGCTTTAAGAATTCACGGAATTATAAAGGAATAGCAGTATACAAGTAGAATTAGGCTTAGGAGTAGATCTCGGTCAGGCTCCTTCGTCGTAGGACTTATAGATACATACCCACCTCGCATGTACAGGTAGTAGCAGTAGCACGATTCCATCCCTATCTGTCGCGCTGGGAAACCACGCAATGATTGGGAGCCGGCGGGGATGGATATCAAGATCCGGTATGGTGTAACGGCTAACATTGCCGCCTTTCATGTCGAGTGATATCGAGTTGAGTTACGCGGCAGCTCGGGGTTCGATTCCCCGTACCGGAATAAAATATTGTATGTCAGTATTTTTTTTCGATGGTGGGAGCAGACTCGAGTTGTCCTCGTTGTCGAACAGTCGAAGGCTTCCAAATCCCAAATGGCAATAATCAGCATCAGTGGGAGCAGACTCAAGTTGTCCTCGTTCAACGTTGTCGAACGAAGGCTTTCAAGTTCCAAATGGTAAGGATCAGCATCATTGATCAATGATAGCACTTATCTCCTTTCTTCATCTCCAGTTACGTCCGCGATGTTAGAGGATGTTAGGCCCGGGCGACGCTCCAGCGAATTCCTCATCAGCGACGTCCTCGACGTTTTCGCGACCTTCAATCCGCGCGAACTTCTGGTAGCATGTCGACCGAGGTTCCTTCGGAGACCACCCCGCTGCTTGTAGCAGAGCCTAACCTTAAGCACGAACTGGTGTACAAACGGTTCTCGCAGCGTCGAAAATGGGTTATTCTGATGTTGATATCGTGGTGCGGTTTGATTCCTAGTACGTGCTATTGTTTTGGAGTCTATGTATGATCACCCTCACCCCCCTTGCAGTGTTCATCTCTGGAAGTTTTCTTCCTTCAATACCCGACATCGCCAAAGATCTCAACACCACTGGTCCCATTATCAAGTCCGCGTTCTGTGTCTTCGGAGGGAAACCCCTGCTAAATTTGATAAACAGCCTAGCCGTCAGTTTGTCCATGCTCGCATCAAGTCTCGGAGGTCTCTCAGGCGCAGGATATTCCACGTTCTGCAGGTTCTACGCATCATTGAGATGAGTAATAGCTAATACAGCCTTGCAGATGGTCGGCGACCCGTATATTTCTTTGGATTGCCCTTGTGCTGCATCGGGACCTTCGGGGTTGCATTGTCCAAGACCGTCCCGCAGCTCATGGTGTGGCGCTTCCTTCAGGTGTTCGGTGCGTCGCCTGCACTTACGGTGGGGGCTGGCACCATCGGGGATCTCTACGCACTTGAAGAACGGGGGCAGGCGATGGGGATTTACTTCGCTGTGAGTCTTTCGCGTATTCTTATTCTCTGCATCGCCTTTAAGCGCGTTCTAGGCATGCTTCCTTGGGCCCGCTTTAGCCCCGCCTATTGGAGGTATGCAAGTCCACGTTCAACGCCCGGCCCAGGCTGATACCTGTTCTCCCAGGATTTGCCGCACAATACAGTGGTGCTCATAAATTCTGCACGTGACTTCGTCATGTCGCTTGTTGGAATCGACAAGAACTTGACACGAACTCGTTGTAGCACTTAACCTCGGAGGAGAAAAATGTTCATAAATATATCTAGTTTCGTGGTGTATAACATCAGAGAGTGAAGTGATCTTTTCACTGTGCTATACAATGATCTTTCTCAAGTGCTTCCGAAGTCATGTGCAGGATTTATAAGCGCCACTGTATGCCTCTTGGCGCATCATGCAAGCTGCAATAGGTGGAGTGGGGTGCGTGATGCTCGTATGCATGGTTCTGTTCTTTCCGGAGACGAGTCACCCTGGCAAGAGAGGAATAGACAAAATTCCAGAAGGCTCAAGGAGACTGGTCTTCGTTAACCCCCTGAAGCCTCTAGCGTTATGGCGTAGTCCGAATCTTCTTGCCGTCGTGAGTATACATTCAGCGGATTTTGAGGAAGAGCTGTGTTGAATGCTGCCTTATTTCAAGGCGTTTTCTGGCTTCACTGTGCTGTTGACGAACTTTGGTAGGTCAAGTTATCATGATTCTCTCTGTTCTTATGTTGTTATGCATAGTGTTGTTGGTGCCCCTTGCCTACACGATTGTGAGTCATACACGCTCCAGTCCGGATTCTCGTCTGACGTCGGTTTCCGCCAAGGGGGTCCGATATAAAATCACCAGCGCTGCTTTGATTGGAGCCTGCTACCTCCCTGCCGGAATCGGAAACATGAGTCCGTGTCTAATGTTTGCCTATCACGGTCTCCATCACTCATGAAGCGTCAGTCGGAGCTCCACTAGCAGGGAGAATATCCGACAAAGTCGTAGTCAAATGGCGCAAACGGCGTGGCGGCGTATGGTATCCCGAGGACAGACTACGAGCCACGCTCGGCGGAGCCCTCTTCCTCGTTCCCTTCACCGTGCTATGTTCTGGACTTTTAACGCAATTCGTACCCGGGAAGGTTGGATTGGTCCTCAACCTATTATGCTTGTTTCTCAATGGCATTGCTGTATGTATCCACGGTCATCGGAACACACATCACGCTATTGATACTTAGACCTTGGCTGCTAGATCGATGTGGTTCTCAGTCCGTCTGGGGCATACGCCGTCGATATCTTCCGGGACCGGAGCGCTGAAGCCATAGCTGCGAACGTGTAGGTCCTCCGCGCACGGGCATCTTATTCTCGGCGCACTGACTCTCGCCTGTACAGTTCCTTCCGGGGGTTCGCGCTGGCTATCTGCATCTCTGGGCTCCTCCCGTTGATCGAGGTAATCGGCGTTGCGGGAACGAACGCACTGTCAGCGCTCCTGGCGTGGATCGGAGGCTTGTAAGGATATTGTGATGACATCGATGACGGGAGGCGCTGACGTTTTCGTACAGGGTGATATGGTATACCATTCGGTATGGCACGCAGTTGCGGGCGTGGGTTGATGTTGGGTATTCAACGGCCGATACGAATTAGTGACTTAGCATCGCACTATACACTGTTCGCAGGTTAATCTCATTGGACATCTCGCGGAAGACCTTGTCCTGCTTTACCTTCAACATTATAATACAACCCTCCGTCGCAGCTACAACTATCTTAGGGTGCCCGGTACCTCCGCGATAACGGAATAAGATGCAACTTCAGCCAACGCATCCTCGGACTTCACTTGCCGAAGAGAAATCCGCATCCTTGTCTATTTAAAAAATTGGACAGATGGCAAATCCGGAGTGTATCTCGGGTAGAAAGCGATAGCATGACTTTGACTCATGACGCATGAACTACCACACTGCGTGCGAGTAATTGATTCATGTGAGTATAGAGCGGTCATAGAGTATGTATGGATAGAGATGATCAGACTCGCACGTTGAGTAGAGGTTAGTCAAACCTTCAATTCACAGGCGTCATCGGGAACAACGACCCTGCTGACTCGCTGTCCAACCGCCATCGCGCCCTCTTCACACGCCAACATATCAGCATCCCCCGGCCCACCGCCCAATTGAATAACGTTCCTCATATACCTCCCCGCCCAGTGAGTCCTCGTATCAGATAGATTTAGATTCTGACACTGACAGGTGGAAGATTCGTTCACCCGCCCATAGTCAATTGCTCCCATGTAGTTCCTAATACATCGGAGCAAGTTGCGAAGTTGTCAACGCACCACCTTCCCCATGGACCCACAACACCATCACACATACCTGATACTTATACCCAAAAAAAGCACACGAAACTCGGGAGCGAGCCTATCGGGCTGTCAACAACAAAACAGAAAAAAGAAAAAAATTCGTATGCGGTAGTTTCACCTTACACCCTGGGCGGTGAACTCCAAGCTAGATTGGTCGAATTCAAGCGAGGTAGCGGCGCGAGTGGGACAAATGATTGCAGGCGTAACTTCGTGTGCTTTTATCTGACCGCTCAAGGGAGTGGTGAGGCGGCGCCCAATAGAGTACGAGTATCACGATAAGGTTTCTCGCCGTTCGTCGGGCGCGGTGATAACAGGAAGCACGCGTAAGTAAGTAGAAAGCGCTGAAAACGGCCAAGTGCCGCACGATCGCAGGGCGGCGTTGATCCTGATCTGAGCGCGCTCAGTAGTAGAAACCATCATTATTGTCATGACGGGCGTCTACCCCACAACCCCGTGTGTCGGTGGCGGCTCGTTCCTTCCCGGGTCCGAGCCTCCAGAGACAGAGGGTAAGCGCCCGTGATGGGGTGTGCAAACACAACATCGAACGGAACACATTAATGAACGAAGCCAACTCCGCGAAGGGGGAGGGCAGGATCATGCGACCGTACATAAACGCAATTAACCTCATGCCAGGGGGTGTAGGGAGCAGTGATCCCGACAAGGCTCCATCGGGATCCTTCCAGATGATGAATGGCATGATAGGCGCCGGGTACCGAAATCGAAACAGAAACAGAAGAGGCGAGCGACACACCGAAATGGAATGGGCCGTGGAGGGTTATTCGGCGCGCGCGTCTGTTTCCTCGGACTGGGTGGTCTGCATTCCTGGGTTCGATGGGAAGTCAACTGAGTATCCAGGATTGATGGGGGGATGGGTATGGGTTGAGGGCATGGAAGGAAGTGATAGTGATAGGCGCCACACGACGGAAATGGAAAGGTCAAAGGGCAGGATGTCTACATAGGTAAGATATGTGGTGCTATGTTCGCGTCGTGATACTTGTGTGGTGTGGTGTGTTGGGTGGGGTGGGGTGGGCTTTGATGTGATATTTGCGTCGTGCTGTTGTACATAACAGCGCCGAGCCTAGCTATGAGCATCGACGATGATCTCTTCCATGACAAGAAGGCCGATATACAATCGGCGACCCGGGGAGCCATCGAAAACCATCGACCTCGATGCACACGACAAAATGTAAAAGATGGGTGAGTGGCGCGCCTAGGCCTTGGGGTCGTGTTTCTCCCATCCACTTTTATTATCCGCTCCGGACTAATCACTGACCACGCACCCAGTAATATCTCCTTTCAATGCGGTATCGGTGTTGGACAAACGTCAGATTGGCTTCTATCAGGAGCGGTGTAATTGACAATTAGACTGGCGGCAACATAACAGGTTTCTAGAATCCACTGGAAGAAGAGGTGTGAATGTAGTGGTGACGCAAGGAGGTGATGCGGATGCGTTTTCGTTTTGCCCCGATGGGGGTCTGCCATCTGCCGTTTGACGCCGGGGGAGAGGAATCTACTCGACCTCTAGATGCGTGTCATCCTCTGGAGAATCAGGTATCGACTATATACCCAGACGACTTTGGCCGCTGCGCTGCGCCGGGTATATGCCTGAGATATACCGAGAACGAAGGCCTAGGCGAGCGATCTTCGGGCCAGAGGGGTGTGCATCTGTGACCAAT